TGCTAGTTCAGATTTGTCAGGATGCACTCTGTGGATCAGTGTGATTTAAGTGAAGATGTGACTCAGCAGACTGTTTCGCCTTCAGTTCGGGACCCTGCACCCAGAGATCCCAGTTGCTGGACTTACTACCACAAACCCACCTTCATCCTGATCGCTGGCGGGCTAACATTAGCTGCTGGTTTAGTGATAATCCTCAATTCTAGTGGATTATTTAATAGTCATTCTACAGATACAATGTCTGTGAATAATGAAATGGGCCCATTGTGTTTTTCAGTTGGGCTGATGTTTGCTGTGCTCGGTGTGGTCTGGACGTTGATCATAAAAGAAAATGTGAAACACAAAAGGCAGATGATTTAGAATGGGATAAATAGTAGCCAACAATGTCACATGGAAAACAGTTATGTAAATTTTGTAAAAATTACAAGTGTTCATTTTTATTTTGACGTATGGGTGTTTTCATTTTGACTCACGTGTAGTGTGTTTTGATGGTCGTTTATCCTCATGATTGTGATCCTGATAAAGTTTTCTGATAAAAGCATTACTTTACTGCTCAACATCAAAGTTTAGTCACTTCAGTGTACTTTGAACATCATCTGTACAGGTGTACGTCATGTTTCTCGCAGAGTGTACTTTTAGCACTGTAGTCTTCTGGAAGGACAAGGCTGCAGTCTGATACGATTCAATCAAAAAAGGATTCTGATATATTATTGTGGATATGGAGAAAAAGTATCCAGGAGTTGGTCGTTGTAAATGTGCATTCTGGTTTGCTGTTTTTCACGACATTTTTGGACTTTTTGTCCTCCTGGTTGGTGTGTTTTGGGACATCTTTTTCCATGACTTTTTAATTTACGCCGGAGCTGTGATCATTTTCCTGAGTCTCATCTGGTGGCTGTTTTGGTACACTGGTAATATTGAAGTGCCTCCGGAAGAGCTGGAGGACGACATTGCTCAATACAAACGCACTAAAGGAATTTCAGGCGTTATGCGTAAGGTCTCCAGCAGTCTCTCCAACGGGCTGAGGAATTCCTTCAGGAGAAACGGAAGAATTAACGCTCAGGCTGAAGGGTCTCCGGCAAACCGCACGGCCAGAGCAGATCAACCGATTACCATTGCCATGAGCTCCTATACCAATACACAACCTCCTGGGACGACCAACCCCCTGAACCGAGATCCTTTGGTGATATAATATACTGGTAACTCAAATAATACACTATAAAACTGTTTTAAATGAACACAGAGTTCGGAAACCAGTTATCTTCCATGTTATTATCTATAAGCATGATCTTTTTTATTTGAATGATCGTGCAACGTGTGGGCTTGTTAATCATTTATAGCATTCTGGTCTTTAGGAGGACTCCGATTGGACAGGAGGGAGAATCAAATAAGACTTATCTTTTGTACCACACACAGCAAACTTTGCTCGACATTCAGTGTCAGGCTCTGATTTGCATCTCTATTCCCACAGTGCTCTGCGGGGAGACCCTCCTCTTCACATCTGCATCCATGCGGCCTAGAAATGACTTGCCTTTAGAAGTGCTTTATAGATCTTTAAGATCATCAGTGTTTTCGGCTACTTTTTTGTGTAATTGTTAATATATAAATATTGTTATAAAAATATTGTTCTTTTAATCCAATTAAACTAAAATATGTTTGTATTATTTAATATAATATGATAACATTATGTAATAAACTAATATGTTGTCCCACTATATCTAATAAGCAGTGCTTACTCATGTGTTTATAACAGTATCAGTGTTTTGTATACAAACCTTTGCAATTAAAATAATTTTAGAACATATTTATTAGTCTGGTATTGTTTTATTTGAAAGGTCTCTATTGAAAGATGAAACAATTGTTATGCTGTAAAAATTATTGTAATATTAACTAAAACTTTAAAAATGCTATGGTGAAAACTTGTTAATTGGTTAACAGTAAGTTCCCTATATATGGGGAAAAACAGTAATATACATTTAATGTAAGTTTATGGAAAAAATATTGTTAAATGTACCATTTTTGTAAGTAAAAAAAGAACAAATCATCTTATAATTTACAGTGAAAAAGTGTAAACTGACATTCCCAGATTTCCCTTGGTAACACTTCACATTTGATGGTATTTGATTTGAATAATTGTCCTTAGTAGTTTTTATTCTCAGTTATTTATATTAGGGTTTTATTTGAAAATGTATGTTGTTTAATTCATGTTTATTGCATTATTTTAGTGTCATGTTTGTTACCATGATGGTGTTTTGTATTTGTACAAATTCTACATATTAGTATTAACCTCAGTTTGTGCAAAGGCTACTTGTGATGAACCTTGATTCTTATTATGGTGGCTGTCAGTATGTTAAAGATACAAAACAGATTTTTAAAATGTAATATTTATAGGTTGTTTTGTAAATATGATTACATTCCTGAAGCTGCCAGTTTTTGTCGGTAAAATCTACAGGATTTTATAATAGTTTTTACAGTGTATAGTTACATTAACAGTTAAAAATGGAAATTTGGTTGAAGAAGAGTTTTTGTCATGAGAAAATGTGACTAAAATTTAAACTGATGCCAGTGCGAAAGACAAAAGGGACATCCCCTCCTTAAGACATATTTACATATTGGGAATAATAAAATGTTGGCTGCTGTGTAAGTTCAGTGACGCCTAGCACCTCAGTGGAAGATGCTTTTCTTTATATTGCTGCTTTACATTATTATTTATGCTGAGGGAAAATGTGCAAAGAATTATTATTATGATGGACTTCTTGAGGAGTGTCAACATTGCTCCATTAGATGCAACTCCCCACCAAATATTTGCAAAACATTTTGCACCTCAAGTAAGTATCGTTTTTTATATCTGATTCAAACCTTTTTTCATTTAATTTCATTTTCATTTTCAAAACTAAGACTATGATAGTTGTATAAGCACAATGAATTTACTCATTTTATGTATAAATGTAATAGTTACAGTTATGGTAAGTCAACATACTCCTTGCAGAATCAGTAAGTTGCTTAGAATAAACAAATATGATTACAATGTTTACTGCCCTGAAGAAGCTATAACAATATTCAACATTCAATGTATAATAGAATATTTGTCAATATATACATATATTCTACAAGACAAATGACCTTGATTTACACAAATTATCATGTTGTATATTAAAAACCAAGAGGATGTAAACTTAAGAAAAATGTTATAAAAAGTGATTATTTTGTCAAGTGAAATATGTATAATATAAATGCATAAAAATAGCTGTTCGATATAGGGCAGTACAAAATAAAATACCAAATGCAATTATTATTTAAATACTATTATTCAAATAAAATTATTTAAACTCTTGAAAATTCTGCAAAAGGTATGATCGATTATGAGTAGAACTGTATCATGTATCATGAAGTCCACAATGTCTTATGATTTCAGTCTCTTATTCAGTGCCTCATTGTGTCCTTTTCAGTCCCAGAAAACGAAGTTGAAAAGAATCAAAATATTCGTTTAATTTTGATCGTGTTTTTTGTGTTCCTGGGAGCTTTCACAGCACTGACCATTATTCTGCGAGTTATACGCAGAAAAACCTGTAAGCCCATCATGAACAAAGGTACACTGGTGAAAGACTTTTGATATATTAAGAACAATTTAGACAGTTTTGTCCAAATGATAGCACATTGGTTCAAATGTTAGTACTTGAAATCATAATCATAGGGCATACACTTATTTTTAGTTTACTGTATTTGATTTTATGTATGACATTATTGCAACATGTAATCTATATTATTTCATATGATATGATTTGTATGTCTAACTTTAGTAGTCAGTGTTTTTATAGTGACATTAATTGTGTGGAAAAACAAATTCTTATAAAGTCAATGAAATGTCACTCAGTGATAGGTCAAGAACAAAAGACATCTGACAGCGAGAGAGGCTCAAATGTAACAGAGCAATCTGAAGATACAGATGAAGCTACAACTGATTTGCCAGATGGATTGAACCAACATCACTACAACTCCAGCCTGCCTCTTCCCTCCACTGAGGAAGGCACCACAATCCTGGTTACCACAAAGACAGTGCAAGCTTACCACTGTACACCTGTCATTTAGGGAGGAGATCACTGGAACTTCTATAACAGCAGCAGACTCAGAAAACACTGCACATCATCTGGTTAACGGTGATAGCGAGCATCGTCTCACTATTACTGTGTCCAGACTGGATAAAACTGTCATGACTGCTGCATGGATGCACTAATAATGGACACAGGACTTGAACTTGAACACAGGATGGTATCTGACTGTCAGAAGTGAACATCTCAGTGTTATTTAGATGTAAGAATGATCTGCGATATTAGAATTGAAAAAATATTACAAACAAATTTCACCAAATTTTTTTCCGAAAGGCCACTCTTACACTTTTTAATCAGTGCATAACCAGTACAAATCTATGCTGTATCTTTGTTAAATTAAAATGTGTTACTTCAATTATGAAGTCTTACTATTTGTAAATATACTTAAAGAAAGAAATAAATGCATGACATTTATGTAATAAATGCTTAAAAGGATAGTTCACCCATTTTTTAATCTGCCATCATTTACCCTTTTACACTTTAATTTTTTTCCAAACAATGTATGACATTTTATCCCCCCAAAATGATCTGTTAGGCACAATGATAGTCTCAGTCACCATTTACTATCACTGTATGAGGGGGAAAAAAAAAAAATATATATATATATAAAAATTACCGTGCAGGTGAAGTCAGTTCTCAACGTTCTGCCTAACATTTCCTTTTGTGTTTCACTGATGAAATAAAGTCATACAGGTTTGGAACGACACTAGGGTGAATAAACGATGACGGAGTTTTCATGTTGGTGTGAACTGTCCCTTTAAATCAGACTTTCAGAATCCATTGACGTAAATTCGACTTCAAAATACTTGTATGTGTATTTTTAAATTTGTATTATTAGGCTATGTAGCTTTGACCCACGTGACAATGTTGCTGTCACGTGACACCAGGGCAATGTCATGTGACTGACCCGAGCGCAGTCTACAGTGGTGTTAGCGAGCTCTCGTTAGCACGACGATACAGTTTAACTCGGTAGAAACAGTTCACTTATGCTAAATCCTTACGATACTTAATAAAAACATATGAGTATTCATAGTTGTGATGAATTAAACGGCTTTAAAAAAGTGCTAGTGTTGTCTAAGCTAGGCCTCGGTTTAACTGCTCTGCAAATGAAAGTATGGAGACCGACCCAAAATGTAAACAGTGTTGTTAAACATCTTTGGGGATTAATCTGATACTTTTGGGGACCTACACAACCGCGATTCATGTCGCTTGCTAAACCGTTTGATCTGGAATTTCAGAATGAACGGTGAGTTGTAAATGCGAGGTGATGGATTCATGCTGTTATGTTGTTTATTTGTACTTGCCACACATTTAATTGTTATCTATTTATTGTTTGTGAGGCAACCAGAGGTTTCAAAACATTCAGTCTGTGTCACTGTGGTGTGAATATGCAGATCCTAGAACGTCATACTTATTTATGACAAGAGCTTTAAAATGGGATAAAATGTAAAAAAATGGGACAAAAGAGTAAATTTCAACTTTAAATTTGATAAATTTGAAGAGTTAATTTGATCGGTCTGTCTACATATCTCCATATCTACAGTAGCTGCAACAACTTCCTAATTTCTTTATCTGTTGTTTTGACAGGTCATGTGAAATGTCTGTCAAATGGGCTTCATTCAGGACAAAAATCACAGTGCATGAAATGAATAACAGTTTAAAATTATGGCAGAAGATTGACTGCATACATATATGAGTACACACACACACACACACACACACATATATGTATATATAATTGTGTATCTATGAAGAAGGAATGGATCATTATATTCAAACTGACAGTGCCTACCACCATTAAGAACTGCTTGTGCTTCTCTATGTAGTCAATCTTTTACCAAATTGTTAATTATTGTTATTCATTTAATGCCCTGTGATTTTTTAAATGTTTATTTTAACTGCGATTATGCTGTTAATATCAGTGATATTTGAGGACACTGTACCTTACAGGTACGCAGCAAAATGACCTGAAAAGACAAAACCTGTTAGAGAGACTTCTTGATGCAGTTAAACAGGTAAGGTAACTTTGAGTTGTTTCATTGACTATTTGATAACTTATTTGTTTCCATTGCTAACATAAAACATTCCTCTTTGACAGAGGTGTAAAGAGTACCTGAAAACCATACTTGAGTAAAAGTACAGGTACCTTACAGTGAAAATTAAAGTCACCAATTTCAAAACAACTTGAGTAAAGGTTTTAGAGTATCTGATTTTAACAGTACTTAAGTATTTTACTTACACTAAATATATAGGCTCAAAGATGCACTAGTCAAAGAGACATGCCAGTGAAAAATAAGAAAGAGTTGATTTCTGAGAAGAGCAATCACGTTTATTTTCTAAAACCAGAATAAAACTGAACACCTCAAAAATTGCAAAAAACAATATTCTTCAAAAAGGTCTCTTCAGTATAACAGATAAATAAAATAATGTTAAGTAGTTTTTTTTGCTTAATTTGTTTATTGTACTTTTTCTTGCACTGGATGAGTTGGTTTCGGCCTAAGGAACTCACATTCACATAAAGTAGCCTTGTTGACAGGTTTGGGTGTGTAAGGGCAAAACGCACAAGATATAGTACTTTCAGTGCCCTGTAGTTGGCAATATCACTTCTTTTGTAGCAGATATAAACTGCTGCAGAAAAAACTAGGTGCCATGCAAAATGTAATGTGTAATTGCAACAAATTACAAATGTAGTGGAGTAAAGAGTACAGATGCTTTGTAGAAAATGTAGTGAAGTAGAGAGTAAAAGTTGCTGATATCTTTTTGACTGAGTAAAACGACAGAATATCCAAAAATATACTCAAGTACAGTAATTCATTACATTTACTCAAATACTTTACACCTCTGACAATGGTGGCTTAGAACAAGGAAAGAAGTGGTTTATAGGTTTTTCAGTGGCCAATTCTGATGATGACATCTAGAGCTAGATCTAGATATCTATCGCAAATCATTTAAGGCAGAAGTGAACATTTTTTTTTTTTTAGAAAATGTAGTGAAGTAGAGAGTAAAAGTTGCTGATATCTTTTTGACTGAGTAAAACGACAGAATATCCAAAAATATACTCAAGTACAGTAATTCATTACATTTACTCAAATACTTTACACCTCTGACAATGGTGGCTTAGAACAAGGAAAGAAGTGGTTTATAGGTTTTTCAGTGGCCAATTCTGATGATGACATCTAGAGCTAGATCTAGATATCTATCGCAAATCATTTAAGGCAGAAGTGAACTTTTTTTTTTTTTACACGTACTTGTGTTATAATATTGTCCAAATATCTGCCAGTTAATCAGTCAATATCCTGACATAGAAATAATTATAAATTCTGTTGATAAACATTTTTTTTTTAAAGTATGGATAATAAAATGTCAGAATGCATTTTTATGAACAAACACTCTAGTGCAACATAATTCCCTTTTGCGCCATTCCATTTTATTTTGAGTGCAGAAAACGTGTTTATGTTTCTCCCATTTACCAGTTGTTTTATTTAATAAGTGAGTTGGTAGATCGGGTTATTAAATATTAATATTTATCCAGGTTCCCGTGAAGGTGCTGCAGGGGTCTGTAAGGAAGATATTTAATGCATATAAAACTTTGAAAGAAAATGATGACATTTCCATCGGTTTGAATAATTGGAATTTTGAAATAAAATAATGTTAGTTAAGGACTGAACATTCCTTTTTCTAATCGATTATTTTCTCCTCAGTGCCAAATTCGCTTTGGTGGCAGAAAGGAGATTGCCTCAGATTCTGATAGCAGGTGCCATAAAAATATTGCCTATTTATTTTATAAAGCTGAAAATGGTTTGATAAGACTATGCCAAATTTGTGCGCTTTAATTAATTGGTAATTCTTTCCTATTTTGCTGTCACAGAGTCATATGCCTATGTGCCCAGTTTGAAGCAGTACTTCAACACGGCTTGAGGAAAAGTCGCGGTTTAGCCCTCACAGCAGCTGCCATTAAACATGCTGCTGGATTTACTAGTAAAACTGAAGCAGGTACTGTAACTGATTCCATCAAATAATGGACATCCAGACCTTACTTTCTATCATTTTTTTTCCTTCATTTTTTTATCCAGCCGTGTTAATCGATTTTCTGAAAGCACATGCTGAAAAGTGTTTTTCAAAGTGTTTACTCACTGAACTCTTTGCCCTACTTAATGAGTTTGTCTTAGTTGGTACCCCTGAGAGACATTGCCGGAGAGATTTCCCTAGTAACAAAGAACACATGTGGTGTTCTGGGTTGTCCATAGAGGAAACAGATGCTCATAAGTGCTCATACAGGAAAACCAGGTGCTGATACTGTTTATGAAACCAGATGGTTATGCAACAAGCCTTGTAAAAATGGCAAAAAAGAGAAACAAGGTTTTTCTGAGGTTAGTCTTTGCACCTGTTGTGGTTTTGAGCTGTTTAAAATTAACAGCAGAACTAAAAGTGATACTATGAATCAGTGCTGAGTACTTTTAGCTTTTTAAAATAAAAAATAAATTATTACTTTTATTATGGATGCATTGAATTGATCAAAAGTGACAATAAATCCATTTATAATGTTGCAAAAGATTTCTGTTTTAAATAAATGCTGTTTATTTTCTGTTTTCAACATTGATAGTAATAAAAAATGTTTCTTGCTCATTGGAAAGATTTCTTAAGGATCACGTGCCTGGAGTAATCGCTGCTGAAAATTCAGCTTTGCCATCACAGGAGTAAATAATATTTTAAAATGTATGAAATAGAAAACAGTTATTTTAAATTGTAATAATATTCACAGTATTTCTTTCTTTTTTTTTTTTTTTTT